AGACTCCAATCTTTTTCATTGCAAAAATCGCCAATTTATTCGAGCATAACATCAGAAACTCTACAGTGCTGTCGTCATGTAAGTGCATGCAAAGCGAGATATCTACATGAATGCGATTCCGTTTGTATGTATAGAAGGACGTTCTGTATGTTTGAAGGAGAAGCGAAAAGCCTTTAACCGCGATCACAAGCGGTGCACTCAATAAAGTGGAAGAGAGCCCGATGACGCAGGTGTCGCACACTTGCAAACGAATGGAGTCGGACGGAAAAGAGTATCAGAACGTTAAGGTGGCTGCTGGATTACTTAAGACACCGTAGCGTAGATAATGGCAGAGCCGGGATTCAGAGATCACTAGCGCGAGAGCATTACGAAGGGTGTGATTTAACGATCGCCTTTTGCGTGCAACGAGGCACACCGGTCGTGGGAGATTTCAAGGGCAAACACGTGTTGCAAACGCTTCAACATAGATTTTCGGCGAATATATATTCGTAGGGATACGTTCAAGCTCTATGTGCGTAACGACGCAATTCGATGCGCATTTTACAAAGTTTATGAAAAAAAAGAACTTGGGGTCATAGAAAATAAAACGACACATTTTCCGTTTATTCAAAAAGTATCAAAACGCAGATGTTTACCACAAGTGACGTATAAAATAATAAAGAGAATATTTTAGGGTAGAAAAATGTAGGAAATTTTATAATGGAATATACTATTACACTATTACCTTGTCTATGATTTAAATAAAATAGATCTATTCCTATAGTTATATATATTTTTATATAATTGCTCTCTTCCTCTCTCTCTCTCTCTCTCTCTCTCTCTCTCTCTCTCTCTCTCTCGATTTCTCTGGATTTTTAATTATGCATAAATTAAATTCATACTATATCGTGCTTTAACAAGAATAATTGCAAGCCAGCGACAATGACAAGACATAACAAAACGTATAAATTAACGAGCTAAAATAAAACGTTGATGGTGAAAGGAAGGAGAGGAAATTGGAGAAGAAATAGGAGTAAAAGAGAGAGAAAGGAAGAGCGCATGATGACGGAGCGCAAGAGGGAAGTATTATCCGGCACGAGTCACCAACGGAGACCTTCACCGAGACCGAGGAAGGTCGACATCGCCCTGTGCTTGTGCCGTGTGTTCGTAACACCCCTCCCTATAGTAGCGGCAGGCAGGAGCACCCTCGACAGTATCAACCATCACCAGCAAGAGCGGCGGCAGCTACAACAGCGGTAGAGGTAGCAGCAACCCCTGCCGTCCTATAAAGAGGATACCATCGCCACCACCACCACTGTTATCATCACTACCACCACAATCTTTCCTGCTTACTGCACTCACCCTGGCCTAGAGAGATAGCCTTGCTCCTGTATGACGACTTGACGGGGGTGAGAGAAGCGACCGTGGCAACGGGGGATGCACGAGGGTCAAGAAGGGCGAGGTGCGGGGTTCGGCAAAGGGGGATGGACGCAGGCGCGAACGCAGACGCAATAAGCTGACGAAACAGCGCCGAGCATTCCGGCAACGCCAGACAACGCGGCACAATCGAGACGAGATAATCACTGTGGAACGGAGCTTTAAACTACCCCTGTGACCAACCACCTACACAGTCAGTCCGCAAGCGTACCGATCGTGTACCGAAGATGGGAGTTGTGAAGACGGCGTCGGAGAGCATCCTCGAGGAGACTGTGATGCCGAGCGAGGAAGCGAATTATTCGCAGCAGGGTTACGCCGGTAAGGGAGTGATTTCTTTTTTCTAGTTTTACGGGCAACAGGAAGAAAGAAAGCGGGATCGCGCGAGGTCGTAGTCGGCCTGAATCCGACGGAGCGCAAGACGAGCGCACCCCATGATATCAGGTGTCGCGATCAAGGTCACCCTGTCATTCGCTCGCTCCTTCCTTCGGTTTCAGACCGGCTCCGGCACAGGAATTCGTATTACTCGCTGTATGCTTTAAAGGCGATGTGGCAAGCCGCCCACCCGAGAGCGACTGCTAACAGGTGTTTGGAGATACAGATATACCGCCTGCGGTGTTCTCGTGCACCAACATCACCGAGGAAATCCGATCTTTGTTGTAACGTTAGACTATCGAACACCGACTTGAAGTCACAATTTATGTGACTCTGGAATGCTAACAATATCGTTTAATTACAAATTCTTCGGCGGATCGATCATTCCATCGATTAATATTAATTAACGGGTATTGAATTAGTTCACGCCTTTAATGTTAAACTAAACTAAACTGAAAGATAGACGAAATGTTGTTCAAACATTAAATTGATAGAGAGATTGATATTCCGAAATTTGATGTTGGGTCATACGTAAACGGTTAACGGCATTGCAACGATTTCTAGTAGATTACAGTGCATATTAACTAAACCATAACGCGTGTATTGAACTTTGGACAAGTTTCAAAATTAAAGCGATGATGTTCTATCTAACACGTTAATATTGGCATCGCGTTGCTAATGACTTGAGTGTGGTTGCGCATGCATGCTTCCAGTACGAAAAAGCAAGGCTTTAACACTATTTATACTTGTAAGAATCGATAAGTGCGATAAAGTTTTACAAAGAACAAGGCGACTTTGCTCCTACGTTCCCCGCTCTGCGACAGTGCGGAAATTAACAGATGGGATAAATAGAATATTGTCTGTCGATCATTCGCGTAGGGAAACGTCTGATCCAGATCTACTTTCAATACGGATATTGCATTGTATTGATGAAAACCGGGTTACAGTAAACTGACCCAATTTCTGGCCGGTAGGCGCAAGAGTTTCGGATCGATTAGGCCGCGAGAATTAAAGTTACGTATAACATTTGCAAACTAATTGGCCACGTTACATTTCCTTAATTTTCAAATTTACTTTCATATGTGGCACACTCGAAAATAATTTACATTTATCTTGTGATTCCCCGTTTATTTTTGCGACCGAATTATTCATAAAATCGCTCGGCTCCGACACAAAGAGTTTTCATATTTTTTTCATAAAATTAAAATAAAGTTAAAATAAAAAGCAAGACAGTGTTGTGTTGACGTATCCTTGTATAAAAAAATATTCCGTATTAACGCGAAGGTAAACTGTATTTCACTGCGGGGATATTTAATTCATATATTTATTTTACAAAAATAATACAGGAAAATACACTTTGAGACTACATCATGTGTGCTGCGATAAAACATACAAAATAATTATGGAATCTTTGCCCTTGGCCCCATAACTGCTGAGTGGTTTCATTTAGAAACTCACGATCTTTCCCAGAAGAAGCTACATTTAGGCATACGCTTCCGTGAAAATCCATAAAGAAAGTTGATAAGATATTGAAGGATGAATAGTTTTGCATAGCACTTGATACATCCGTTATCATAACAATAATATTAGTATATTATTTGCGTAATTAAGATGCACAGAGCGTATAATTTGACTTGTAACAACATCAATTAATTAACTAACACTTAACACGTAACTTTATATAAAGGAAACAAACTTTTGTAAAACAAGAATTTGTTTTTAATAATAAGCTACTATTTTGTTTTTGTTACAAAAAAATACATTATCACGGATTATTTTCATTAACGCTGATTAATCGCTGCAAATCAAATCTGCTGTCTTTCAATCTTCCATCTATTTGTTGAATAGCTATATTATGATCTAGAAAAAAGCATACATTAAACAATAGGTAGAGTTAGGCAATGTTTGCCAGCTCGACCCCAAATGTAACAGACCGAAAATTAAACACGTTCCGAGAGTCGAGAAAATAATTGCAAAGCATTACATGATCGATCGTCTATTGCAAGTTAATGCAATATTTCCTTACGATGTCGTTATTATATCGTATTAACATCATATTTGAAGTTGTATAAAGATGTAATAATCAACAAAAAAAATGGTGATAATTTTTTCCGTTGGTTGGCTTTATAAAACGACCGACTTAGCATTCTGTATTTGTAACAACTTTTGAAGTGATTACAGTTGTGTAAGCTTTCCATAGACATAGTCTACCTGGTCAAGGACTGTAAACTCGCTGAAATCCTTTCCAAGAAATCGCACGTGCACGAATTCTAAACATTTATAGCAAAGATTTTTCTTTGTTATACATAAGCTTTTCTCACATATATCTATTTCTCAATAAAAGTTAATCCGATTCACTCTATGTTTCTTTTTAATACAATTGATACGTGTGTAAAATGCGATTTCGTATCTAAGAGATAAATCCCTTCGAACGGTCAGCTTGAAACTCCTGCTTGTTGCACAACAAAATAGCATAAGCGCTTGAATCCAAAATCAGATATGGGGATATAGAATATTTACATAGAATATTACATAAAATATTTAATGTAATGAGATGAGAAAGTTATGAAAAATTACAATATTTTTTAAATACCGAATATGTGATCTAATTTAAAAAAAAAATACGTAGTAAGAAGGAAGAGATTATTTAAGTACGTCATGTTATATTTAGTTCACATTGCACGTGTCTAAAGACAATGTCACGTCTGGGTGAATATCGGCATTATTGGGTTAAAAAAGTAACGTTCATAAAAAAAATCGTCACAGTTAAGTTAACATAGTTATTATGCATGAAGTTGATATTGAATATCAAAGAATATTTATATTGAACATCTTTTATTTTGACGTCTGAGAATTCGTGATCTTAACAAGATATATTGAAGTAATAAATGATATTAACATGGAATAAAAATTAACCCTCGGAACTCACTCAATTATAAATATCTTTGTCAAAAATGTCAAATAATTAAATTTTCAGGATATCAGATGATGTTACATCTGCAAATTTAGATTGTTCTCATTAAAACATACTTAGTATTCATTTTTGTCATTTCGATTTTTTGAAATTAATTAGTGCCTTTTAATTAGCATAAATTAAATAGGTCTTCCCCAGTGTCAGTAACTGTGTTACAGATTTTAGCGTCATCTCCGGAGGATTAATAATTGATAGAATATCATGAATATATCGAAATACAATTGGATTTTTATCTTTAATTTGCACCATTTTAAATATCCAGATTAAGAAATTATCTTATTATCTATTTTAAGCTATCTACGTTAAGCTTCGCTTTCGATTTCGTCGGTAGTTTGTTCAGTGGAATCCAATTCCTCCTTTTCAGAATCATCAAATCTTTCATACTCAAAATTCTGTTCAAGTATCGACGTCGCATCTTCCTTTCTATCCGCATCTACCTTTCTGTCCGCGTCTTGCATTCCGCTTTTTCTTATTTTGTCCACGGTGGATAATTCATCCTGCCTTTTGAGGAATTGTGTTATGTCTGCTTCCAATCCTTCCCTTGGAAGGACATCATTTTGTTGTCGGCCAATAGCATCCAAGAGCATGCTCATTGTTTCCGTATAATCCGGCTCAAACATTCTTCCTTCGGGATTCTTTTTAAATAAATACTCGGCCTGGAACGAAAATATATTCCTCAGCGTAATACTTTATCCGTGAATTTGGAAGTCGAATATAATAATAATGGTAAAATATTTTGATACATGCAAGATTCATAATAAATCTATTAAATTAATTAAACTTGCAAATAAAATGCAGTATAAAACGTCAATTAATTATAAAACAAAATATTGCGAAGCTCGTTTTATTACAAATGGAAGTGACTTAAAAGCATTTCAAAACTCATACAATTCTCTTTTCAATTAAAATGCGTATACGGAACATTTTCCGACTGTGTTGCAGTTTCTATATAATTAACCCGGCAGATCTCTTCACCCGTATGCGAGAATACGCAAGAATGTAAGGTCGACCTCATAATCTGTTTAGAAACAGATCGTATGTCATCTACAACCGATATTACGACCCACTTTCACTCTCAATGTCATTCCAATGTCCTACTATGCTTGGATTTTTGCATCAGAATTCTTCTCGCGATTCTACGTTGGACAATCCACGCGTCGATTTACCTTCACCGTTTCAATTCTCCGCATTATCGTGAGAGCTTTACCGTTGCTTTATTTCTAGCTGCAACAATGATTGGCACAACAATGCGGCTATCATAAATGCTGCTACATAGTTTTGCCATAAACAATACCTAATGCGGAATCGTTCGACAATAAACGGAAATGGCGAATCTCGATCGACATTTATAAAATGTGAAAGTTATAGGATATTGCGCGGAAGATCGTTACTTATTATTAAGTTTATAATTGTTTATTGTAGGAATGCATTAAACGCTAAGTCAATTCCATTATTTTCTATTATTACGCCAAATTGGTGATTTACGAAATTTAGCAATTAATAATGATAGAAATTTAATGCTGTTCCTTTTGCATTGTGTTTTAAACAACTAAATGAATTATTATCCACCTGAATATTAACACCAGCATGAGGTTTGCCACTATTAATAAATTAGTTACTGTTGCGGTAAGCGTCATCTCTATATTTTACATGTGCATGAATATCTACGTGACGCCAGTACAATACAGTCAATACGGCATTGTATATATCACAAAATGCTCTCTTTCTTCTCTTCCTTGAACAAATGAGAATATAAATCTAATATGTATCGTAAATAATATCACGTATAAGAGATAATTTTAAAATGTTTTTAAAAATTAAAAAATGTTTTCACTTAAAAATGTTTTTAGCAAATTTAATAATGTTCCTTTCTGCATTACGTTTTGAATTACTAATGATTATTATACCTGAATATTAACATCGTTTGCACGAGATTTGTTACTGTTAATAAATTAATTAATGCAGAAAGGGTCTTTCTATATTTTATTAATTAATACAGAGAATTATTTATAAAAATATTATTGGCAATTAGCTATTAACCAGTATTCCTTTTATATTATATTAAATAAAGATATTATTAGTCTGTTTTTAATACAACATGCATTGGTTTTCTTTAATATATTTTCTCTCTCCAGTAGCATTCACATACAATTTAATGTGTTTTATTTAATTTTCTCCAATACGTCGATATTGTGAAATACTTTTTAATAGATATATCTGCTGTTACATCATTATGATATCGAGGGGCTTAAAGTGTAAAACTTGAGTTTTACAAGAATTTGTTAATGGAAAATTGAAACGTTACAACGTAAAAAGGGTACTTTTATTTTGTAATTTTTCAAAATTCCTTATTTTCTTATAAAAATAGCTATATCGAAAGTATAAATAATTTGACTAAGTATTTGCTCTATTTTAAAACTCGTTAACTCATTACTTCTCACCAAATTATCTGCCGAAACGTAAGACTACGATGATGCAATTCATGAAATCATAAAATCTTGTTACATCGCTCATTTTATTTATAGCAATGTGAATGTTACATTATGTTGCATTCGTAATTTTAGCATAATCATGACGTCACATTTCGTGCGTTCCACCTCGTTATTAATTTTCCTCTGTAACTTGGTCCACACGACCGGCAGCACGCTCTTATGCAAGAATGTCTAAAGATACTGGCTTATTGTTGCGTTATCGTTATGTTCTATTACCTTGCAATCTCGTATTCGCTCGTGTCTCGAAATTTCCCAAACAACGTTAGAATCCTGATTTGTTTGCACGCAGTCCGCATAGAAATGATCACATTATCTATACGTCTAAGAGACAGTGTTTTATCGTATTGCGCAGTGACACAGGTAATAATGAGAGTATACGGCTCAGAAAATTTAGTTAAGACTACACAAGTCCAATGTAATATTTAGAATAGAAAACAATATATCTACACGTACGATCTCACGGTTTTTTTTCGTAATTATACGAAATGGCATTTGAAAGTATTTAGTAAGTCGATTTCGAATACATTAGGGAATACGATTAAATCTTTGTAAATCACGAGTCCGTAGTATTGTAGCTCAAGGCAAATACAAAACTCTACTAAAGATATTAAAGACTGTCAAAAAAGTTTATAAGTATTGAATAATTTACTAAATACAGATTGTGATAACATTTTGTTGTTACAACATGAAAAAGTATTGGTGTATCAAAATTTCATCAGACGACGGTTCACCAGATAGAGATCAGTATCTAAATAATTGAGATGATAACAATGATGAAATTTTTATCAGACAGCCAACATTTCTTTCCATCTAATTCAGCTTGTAATGGAAAATATATAGCCGCAATACTCTTGAAATTTGAGTAATTTATTACACTGTTAAATCTATAGTGTCAAATTTAACTTAACGTGAGTCGCCACTGCTTCTACTCAATCACATCGTTATTTTATACTAAAACAATGGTTATATTTGACAATATAGTGTCAAATTTAGCTATCATTTTGGTAAAAAATAACGATATATTTAGTAAGAGCAGTGGCGACTCACGTTAAATTAAATTTGACACTATAGATTTAACAATGTAAACGACAGATCTATCATTTTTATAAATTTATGCACTCATAAAGAAAGGCATAATACTGGCAACTATAAAGGTAACAACTGCACAAGATTAGTACGCATAGTTGAGTAAATTAATATGCATAATTAAATAAACTGTGTAATAGTTGCAACAATTATAAAATAATTTATTTAGCTATGTGTACATTAATTCTATATTAATTCTACACATAATACTTATATACTTGTCATCTTTATAGTGTTACTACCATTATGTCTTTTTCTCTGAGTGTGATGATGAAGAAGATAGATCTTCCCAGCGTCTTTAAGTCATCAAGAATCATAAGAGAGAGATATAAAATACCGTTTTCGAAGCTCAGGTCATTAGATGAGAGAATGGAAGAAATTCTATTTTTTTTTTATCACTAAGAGGTAATACATTAGGAATGATGTAGTCGTAAATGTCCCTCAACAAACAATAACTCTGAATTGCTTTATCCGTTTTGTTCCTACATTGTTCCTTGGCTTGCTCTCTGAAACTGCATTTATATGAAATGAGTATCTTTTAAATAATGAATTCTGAAAATTGGACATATTGCTACAATATCATGGCATACTAATTTACCGAATCGTTGGAAAACGTTGAAGATAACGCGAATTTATTTTATCGATATTGTATTTCCCTTTCCTACCGCTCTGACTTCTTTCTGTCTCTTCTTTTTTCTCCTCATATCTTTTCTTACTCTTGCTACGACTTTTATTTATCCATTTATAAAATTATCTATATATATAATAAGAACTTTCTATTACCAATTTTAATGAAAAAAAATCACTGTCTAAAAGAAAACATTGTAATGAATTGAAAGTGGACAAGAACTTTCTCCTACGTAGGCGATTTTAAGATTAGAGGAAACAGAAAATTGGAAAAATGAAGATGTAGATGATGAGATTCCTCATTCGCAAAAAGGTTGTAAAGCGGATTACAGTGTTTTGCGTAGACAAAATTTATCTCAGCAACATCAAGAATATGCCGTATATTTATTTTTAGTTAAATAATTGTAGTCTAATAAATTGTAATCTAATAATATTTATACATGACATTTATATATAAAATTGTTTAAAATATTTTATTTAAAAAAATTAAAATATATACATAAAATTAAATGAATACACAAAATATACTTAAAAAAACGAAATTTTGTCTAACACTGAATTTGCGATAGTTCAGATTGCGTTTGTATGATCTCTGAAGAGATCGATCGTGAATAATAAAACGAATTAAGACGATTACTGAAGCTGATAGTGAAAAAAATTGCTTATGCCCTTTGCGTTTCTCCGTAATAGCGGACCGATCAAAACCGACGAAGCTCGAAATCATGAAATTATAGATAGAAGGTCTCGATATGGTCGACAGAGAGCCAAGAGAACGGTCATGCTCTTATTCCCCTCGTGGTTCGATCCTTCGGAGTGGAACGACGTCTAATCGCGAGCAGCAACCTATCGATTTCCACGGGAATGGGATTTGAAGTGTGAAAGTTGTTCTCGCATTTGCACATGTGAAAATGTTCCTTTCGCTGCGATTGCCGAACTGTGTCGAAAATCTAACGGAATTGCCTAGTTTGGCGATTTCTTAAAGTATATATGTATATTCGCACAGCGAATAGGTCCCAACGGAATTTTATTCGATAGACATGTTCGTGTGTCTAACGCTTTCACTTCCATTAATTGCAGTCGCACATATATACGCGCACATATGTACGCGAGTTATCATTTTTTATAATTAATCCGTAATGAGAACATGTATTTTTTGTGACGCTAAAGAAATATATAGGTCCTTGGGACCTACCAAAGTTTTTTTGTTATTAGTTTTAGAGGAAGTTTTAAAATTTTTAACTATATAAAAAATTGCAACGCTGGATAAAAATATACAACGATAATTAACCTACATAAGTAAAACAAAAGAAAAAAATTGTGAGACATAAAATTATTCCAATTCATTACGTCACGTAAAAATTAGAAAAATGTCCCAGGGTTACCAGAATCCATGCATATGTTTCAGTTACGAGTAAATTCAAGCACAAATTTTCGTTTGAAATGTCGTTTAAATTTATCAATTATTATTTAAAACTTTTAAATGACAAAAGTTATTACAGGGTATCTCGGAGTATCTTTATGCTTGTTTAAATGAGATATTGTTATATTTATTCAACAAAATTCTACGAACCTTTTAAATATAACGAGACATTTTTAAAATTACTTGTTGTGATGAAAAAAAATACACTGCGATGTAACATCCTTAATGGACGTATTTTTTAATCTTCAAAAGAAAAATAACATACATTTGACAATATAAAATTTTTCAATAATTTAAAACATACATAATATTTTGTCAATAAATTTTTTACGGTACGCAAGCTTTTTCTATTATTTCAGCATGAACCGATTACGACAATGTCATAGGACTATCAGCGCGAAATTCGAGCACGCGTTATGAAATGTATTATCTTGTTTTGCAATAATTATTGACATATTTGTAAAAAAGCTTATCTTTTAACTCTTGCTATTCCCGGACATTAATAACTTCCCGTTTGGTAAGGGATAATCGTCAAACGTCTTGTCGTTTTCTCGAATATGCCAAACGAACTGTGAATTTAACCGAATTAAAAGTGGGTCACTTGATGTAATTTTATTTTAGAGTTCCTTCAGTACAACGAGTTAAATTCGTTTAAACTGGCGGAGTTTAATCCGTCAGAACGCAGCGATACTATAATTTATTTGTCACAGCGCATTGTGCGAGTTTGGCAAGTTAATTTTACTGTATTTCTGCACGACGTTTTTCGCTTTTGCTTTACGTAATTTTAAACTATTATCTCAACTACCAATAAAACAGTAATTGGTGACGCTTATGATGAAAGTGTACGTATTATACGTCTTCCGTAATTGAATACAGTACGTACAGTATTTCCGCAGTAATAATAGGACCAGGAATGTTGATAAAAGATAATAAACGATAATATATGTACTAACCAGAAAGTCTATTGGATCCTCCGGTCGTAACTTTGCTACTTCTATCAAAGCTCCTGTTAGCGTTGGAAAAACGTACTTCATCAGATACTGGTGTAATGGTTCTGCTAAAATACAAAGTCTCTCCTCCTCCTCTAATTTCAACTTCTCCATCAGGTTTGTCTGTAAAAGACAATTCTTTATTGGTCACGAGATTTATATTACTAGATTACATGGCATATGCTGTTGACAGTCGAAGAAATTCGAATCCAGACGAATTAATTTTACCCTTCCCTCCAGAGTTGACAGTGGATCTATTGAATTCACTCAATTATAAAGCTTTGTCAAAAATATCGAATTTAATCTTTTTTATGTTAAATCTGCAAATTTGAATTATTACTATTAAATTATGCTTAATACTCATTCTTGTTTATATACCATTTCTTGAATCGTATCTTGAAATTAATTTATGGCTTTTAATTAACATTTCTTACATTGGTCTTACAGATACACAGCGTTAATTACTGTATTACAGATTTACGCTTTAGAGGGTTAATTTAGAAGACACATTTTACAATTAGTAAAATTTTCATTTTAATAAAATAATCATGAATAAGAGAAATATCTGAGCTGACATGTCATAAGATGAATATTTTACAATGACTAACACGAGAAAAGAAATTTTGTTAGAATCTAGATAATTTAATATATTTGTGTTATATAATATTTTAGAAATTTGTTCTTGATTCTTGTTCCGATCTAGCTGAATGATTACCGTTGTATAATTAGGATTTTACAAAGAGTCATCTTATGAGCGGCCAACCGTGATCGATACGCATTTGCATTTGCCGCTAGCTTGAATCACTAATGTATAAACTACAAGTACAAGCTTCGTATGCAAAAAAGTCCCGTAAACTTCAAACGCGACTAATCTAGTCGCGTAACTTTGCCAGATATACGTGCAAAAAATAGATTAATATTGCAAGCGAATACTTCAACTCATCCGGTTCGTTTAATCTTTATATCCGTTTACGAACTACTAATTCGCCTTCGAAAATGATTTTCAGATTTGAAAATTTTATGCTGGTTTGCAAAACGATATAATACGAGCATTGCAAACATCTAGCGGAAATATGTAGGAAATGTTGGCCTAGTAGAAATATTCGTCGTGTTGTATGGGATCAATAACGTGGCGTTCATGGTTGACGGTGCGATTTCATTGAAAGAAAAGCCGAATATCTGCTTCCAGAATCACGCCCAGCTAAGCAGAAACTTAATAATTCATGCTGTCGTGATTACGTTGGATAGATTAAAACTCGCTTATGACAAACATACATTGCAATAGTAAAAAAAAAATAAGTAAGTTACCATATACTCTGATTATACTGATTCTATAAATTATATTCTACTAGTTATTGCAAATGTGAACTTATTTTAATTTCATTGAATCAAATATATTATATCGGTTTATACTTTAAGCAACTGAAGAACAGTTTGGCAATTTTAATAATTAAAATGGCTTACATACAAATAATTTATGTACATCGGCAAACCTGATATTAAAATATTAATATTAATTTTGTGAATTAATTTATTATCTGTACAGTACTAATTCAATAATTCCTTGAACGTATGAATATTAATAGAAAATGCGGAATAAATTAAAATATATTTAATTACATATATAGTTATAAAATTTAGTTTCTATGTATTGAAAGTATTTACAAACCCATTCCATCATTTTCTTTTCACGCTGTCTTTTACATTCCAAAATTTCTCGCTCTTTTCGCAATTCTTCCGCCACTTCAGCAGCTTGTGTTTCCGCTTCAGCGCGTTTTCGAGCAACTTCCATTTCCTCAGCTGTTGGTCCTAGAAAAAAAGTATTTCAACGTTGTAATTTCTAATATTGCCTAAGAAATAAAATTATAAAAGAACAAACATGATAACTTAATAATAATAAATTCTAGAATAATAAATAAATTTTATAAGAACTTTCTAATTGCGCAAAAGCTTTTTTCATTACCGTTATATTGAATCAATAAAAAGTAACTTTGATATTATTTTATTAATCCGTACAAGAGCCAATATCTTCAGTTAACGCTAATTGAACTGGATGTTATATTTTTTTCTTTTTGCAGATCACAGATATAATTACGATACGCGCGCGCGACAAAGAAAAAACGAACTAAGATTGTCCAGCGGCGAAAGAATCAACCTTTAGCTAATGAGAAATACAAGCATATTAAAAATTAAGACCGCTGAAATTATTACTTGATACTTTGAAGAAAAATTTTATTTTGTGATTCAACATCTTCATTAAAGAATAAGTCCTCTTTAATAAATTTTACTGCGAACGATAGGAGATGTCATCCCGTGATATTTATCTTTTCGTCAGTTTAGATGCGGTTCACTGAAAAAAAATATAGTCAATTTTAACAAATATTTAGTTCAATACTGGCAACTAAGTATTTATTAAATATAAAGATATATTTATTTGTTACAAGAAACATTAATTTGATTTAACAATCATTCTTTTTACTGAACAAATATTTATTTACCGTAAGTAAATGTTTAGTTGGCAGTATTGAACTAAATATTTATTAAAATTGTCTATATTTTTGTCAGTGTAGGAATAATGGGCGTACGGTAACAGAACATGCGCAATAATATTGGAAACGAGTGGAAGACGTTGATGCGCGTATATGGATCGCGAAGTATGGAAAAAAATTGAGATGACATCAAATCGGGAGAGAATATGAATTATCGCGCACCATAATTTCTTGGTTTTCCTAATTTTTCCAGGCACCGATAAATCGTAGGAAACATATCCGGGCAAGTGTCAGTTTCCACAGAGATGATAAGTGGATGGATTTCCATTTCATCGAATAATTGTAATGGCGTGTTATCGTCCGTATTTCTCTTCCTAGAATATCAACCGTAATCTAATGTATGTACATTTGTTGCATAACTTTTGTACAAATAAATTTTCACATTTTAACGATCAATAAGTTATTTACACAAACTGCATTTGCACAGTTTTATCTGTTTGCAAATGCATAAAAAAACTATATAGATCACAATAATGATTAATTTATTTTATTATTTAAATTATTATTTAAATACAGTTTGCAGAAAAATAGAAGCAGGTTTTTATTAATATATAAAAAGCATAAAAAGCATTCAACTGAAAATTCTTTAATCAAATTAAAGTCACTTGAGTGAGTTCTGTTTTAAGTTGTGTCGTAGCGTAAAATAACTAAATTGTCACGTAATTTTTAACTTATCATGATGTATTTGATTTTTTCACTTATTATATTTTTTGCGGATGTAATTGATTTTTATCCATGCATTTTTCAATCCCATTTTCGCGAGATTGCAAGTTAACTTCAATATCGATTTCTTCGTCAAGCTATCACGATATGAACCGTAGTTCTCTTTTTATGAACGTAGACACTTTTAAGCCATAGATGTTTCTTTTCCATCTCGCATACATAATTAATACCTGTATTCTCCCATGCGTCGTAGCATGTGCTCCTCCGTATAATGTGTATTTTGTATTTCCCTTTCTGGACGATTTATGATTCGTTCCTTCAAAAACTCATCACTCGCTTCCAGAACGACAATCAATTCCGGTAGAATTGCCGTATTAACATTTCTAATTTCGACATTGTCGTCCATGAATTTTTCTTTGATTTCTTCTAAATCGTCCTCGCTGATAAAAAATAGATTCCTGGCTTGTTCAAGGGTCTTCGGGTGTCCATCCATCACATAACCTTGATTCAAACAATCCTTCGAATTCAACCGGCTTAGGAACAACCTTTAACGTTGATTGATATTTCTATTATCATCTTTTTAACAGTACAAAATTTCGTTTCAATTAATATTAATTGAATTATTTGTTTTAAAAGCAGATAAATTTTAAATCTTATTAAAATATTTTAAAATTTGCAGCCAGAATTTAACAATTATAATTTTAATCTGTATTTAATCTTTCGGAGCTGACAGGTATTCATCTATTGAATCCATTCAATTAAATATAATTGAGTAACTCCAATAATTTTTAATTTATAGATGTAATAAAGAATGTATGTTACATCTACAAATTTGTGCGAATTAGTGTTATTAAAGTAAACTTAGTATTTACACGTACACACATTATTTTTTATACGAGTTATGTTATTTTGAAATTTATTAGTGCGTTTCAATTAACATGAGTTAAATGAATTTCATAGACTCAACATCAGTAACAGATTTTGACGTCAACTCCGAAGGAGTAAATGTACCTATAGAAACCCTGTTTCTATAGAAAATAATTTAAGTATTATTTTCGACTTAAGAACTTTCTTGCAACATGTCACATCTACATTACAAAGTTGGCGAAGCGTGGTTTGTAACCTACGGTGTATAATGAAATTTATTCTATCAATGTTGGTTAGATATCAATGTTGGTTAGATGTTTACGTCGAAACTTTGATGTGTATATTGTGTAACTTATCTGACAAGAGAATAGGTTCAAAAAAATGTATAACGTTGTATGCTCGAATTATATCTAGCTACTCCATTAGTTCCAGAAAATGTGGAAAAAATATACAAGAATGCATGTTCATTTATTACGAATTTGCACGTTTTTTATTGTACATGCATTACCGATGTATCGATCCGAATGGAACGTAACTGAGCACGTAAATGAGTTCCCCTTTTGTGCAATTAGCGTTTTCGGAGGAAGCCATTCTAACTTTAACGCGAACTGGACCATTGCATCATTATGTTAATTAGATAACGCGTCAATGTGATTACAGCACCGCAACGTAGGAAATGAAGTTGATTAACGATGTGAACTTCCTAAATATACGCGAGCTTGCGAAACTAAGCTCGAATAAACGTTGCTGAAAGCATAGAAGAATTTGTAGAACTAGCATATTATAATATTTAATCACTTATTTAAGATGGTATCGTTTAGGCGGCCATTATTCGCTGCCATGTTGGACCGGATCTCATCAATCTCCTTTTGCAATCTTGCTAGGCTGACTTCTCTTTTATCATCTGCTTCTTCTTGAGTCCTTTTATTCTCGTCATCTGCGCTTTCTACTGTATCCCTTATGTCATCTTGTTGTCCTGTACCTTTTTCCACAGCTTCAATGTCGTCGATCTTAGAATCACGATTGCTGATTTTATTGCTAATTGTTATATACAGAATGCGTATTGATAATGATTGGTCTTTTCGCGAATAAATACACGCTCACCAATTTTTGGATTGCATCGGAAATCAATGTTTTCACGTGAATATAATGTATTCCATAATGATCTGCGAGATATCGAGCAACCCGTGTTTTCCCAGATGCTGGCGGACCAAGAACGACTATTTTCACTGGGCGTAGATTTCGCGCTGTTTTATATTCCTTTATGACTATGTCTACAACGTCTCGAAATGGCATCTCAAAATACCAGCGTATTCGGTCAATGATGTACACAGGATCGATATTCAAATCCACTGTCATTTGATCATACACTTGCTGTGACACTTCCGGCAACGAAAGAGCTTTTTCTTTTGATACACTTTTTACATTACCGGTAGTTAAGCCCTGACTGATTTGCTGTTTACAAACATATTAGATAAAAGTGCTTTATGTATCGCATGTATATATATTTTTAATTTTCTTGTTTTGTTTTGCAATATCTTGAAAATTTATTTTACTTTCAAAGTCTCCTTTTCGCGTTTTACTTAAGTTAAGACCTGACTGACTTTCTGTTTACAATCACATTAATCGGAAGCTAAAAATACTTTATGTATCGCAATACATTTAATTTTTAATTCCTTATTTTATTTTGCAATTTCTTGAAAATTTATAATATTTTACTTTTAATAAGATATAAAAAAGTAAAAATACATGATTATCTTATATATAATCTATAATGTATAATTATCTATGTATGTATAACCTATATACATATATAATAATTATCATACAATATTTAATTATAATAAGTACACAACATTGTGCACTTTTAATATTTTCTCCACTAAATATAAACATCATATTAATTATTTTAAAAATAAAATGAATGTATTATACTAAAAGTATATACATAATAAGTACAAAATGATAATGCGGAAAACTAATACATTTGCGTTTTATGAAGATTTTTACACAATGAAATAGTTTGCGGTATGCAAATCTTCACAATAAAGAAAATATTCGTAAATTATTGTGAAAAGTTAATATTCTCTATCCTTCAATGGACTTGTTTAAAAAAAAAATTAACTCTAAATACTTGATTCCTTGCTCCGTATTACTTGTGTAAACCAGTTTATGCAAGTAGGACGAAGAATGTTTCAAAAACTGGTTTGCGCGAGTAAAGCTGAATATGAATCAGATTATTAAAATCAACCCCCATTTTGAATAATTGAGGTCAATATACATTCATGCTAAAAAAATAAGGAGATAAAGATTATCCTAATAATGGTTTTCAATTTGTCCTTTCTCCTTATTGCAAATATGCATATATTTAATCGCTCATAACATTGATTTTGTTCTATTTTTTTGTAAAATAAGAAATATAATTAAAAAATGTGAAAAAATATTTTATATAATATTTTTAGTATTTGGTTTGTCAATAAGTAAAAGGATTCGTACCTTAACAATCGTATTTTGAGAGATTAATTCCCGTTCTATTGCCACGATATATCTCACCGGAGGCCAATTTTGTAATACTGAGGATACAGTTCTGAAAATCAAATTATTTGTAACAGTAAGCGGATTTGATTAACCAGACAATTAGAACTCCAACGTATTCAAATAAGCTTACGCTAACATCCCATATTGAGATATGAAAATTTATAGAATATTAAACTTTTTCAAAGATCACACACATAATATTAAACATTTCGAAATTGTGATATTTATGGTATTTCTGGAATTTCTAAATAATATTATATATGCATGTAATATAAACTATTTTATTATCATTTTTATTGTTATTATTATTTTCATAATGTCAATTCTCTTTAGAGAGAGTATATTACATATATAAAAATATTGACTTACAAAATTGTGTTTTCTGATACTAAATGCAAAAAATAAAATTAATAAAAAATAGCATTATATTGTTATAAAATTTTATTACAGTATTACAATATTAATGATCCGGTTATATAATATTAATAATTTGGTAATACTAGATTTAATTCAAATTAAAGGTGATATTAATGAGAAAAAGTTTTATTGCATTATTTTATATTGACATATTGAAAATAAGCATTAAGTTTCTTATATAACGTATTTCAAGGCGCACCTCAAAACAGATATCAATATTACAATTTCTCAAACAAGATGAATGTTCTTATATTTCTTTTCTATTATCACTCACGCGGCCAAGTCACGAACGTGTAAAAAAGGTATCTTGTTTCGCCCTTTGCCAAATATAGGTAAGAAAGGCGCATTTTGCCATGCCATTTTAAAGAGATAATGCAGTGGACCTTCCTCTTCGCCGTATGTGATACCGCAGCAAATAATCAGCGTTCGTAATTTGCTCTTTAAATTAATGATCTTCTTCACAGCCACGACTTCTCTCTCACATTGAATGTGTTCCTTGTAATTCGGATGAGGTTTTCGTTTTCGATAATCTGCTTCTGTGAATGGTAAATCTGGATCTGCTGGATCTAACGGCTTCGTGAAAGCCCACGTCATTATGGTGGAAATTAAAATAAAATGTCGCGTTGGCTCTTCTCGTTTAAAAGCTTTTGGCGATTTCTTTTCCATACTTTCCAACATGTTAATAATCTCTGAAAGTAGAAGAGACCTGTATTTATTGTGTCGATAAAAGCTACGTGGCAAATTTTAAAGCCAGTTTTTTATTTTTTAATAATGTACGTTTAACGCATCAAGCAGCTTCTGTTTACTAGATACTTAAACGGTAAAGCAAAGATATAAATATATCGTTATTTATTCCCTAACAGAATAGAAAATGAAAATTTAAATAACAATAAATGACATTAGGTATGTAAATACACAGTAAGGGAAAAACCTTATGAAAATTTAAACAGTGTGCATGTTAATTCATAGTAATTACACAATGTAATTTAAAAATGGGTTCTTTTTTTCAATGCTCAAAATATACAACATTATTTCAAGCTGCGTATTTTTTTAATTAAAAAATTGTTTATTATTTTAATAATGAAAAATTTATAATTTAATATAAATAATATACTTTAATATTTTCTTCTCTTGACGTCACGTTAAATGTAAACATGCGGAAGAATAATGAAATTACACTAGCCCTGTCTTAATTATTAATTAAAGCGAATTTCATTCTCAAACTGCGTCTATCACAATTTGCAAGAAACGGCGGAAGGATCTGATTCAATGTTTAATGAAATGTATTGATTTAAAATGCAAAAATTTTATTAGAAGTAAATAATAAATTAATTTTTTTACAAGAATTATTTTTCTTCTTACAATCTTAAAATGAAAATGGTATATTTGTATTAATGTACCCTTCAAAACCCAACATGCTTCCTTGATCTGGTCTGGTTCTTGTGTAATATCGTAGATAATAATACCGCAAGTCATTAATTCAAATAAAAGAAGATCTTTGTCATCCGAGTTGACCACTATCACGTCCTCTGGACACGAGTACTATCGGAGAGCGACAAAAATCAAATGATATTATGTATTAACAAATTTAACATACTTTTTTATTGCAGATCTCTTTACTTTTTACAGACGTTTCTCATTTTATTTTATCACTGATTCTTATATCACGTAAAATATATAATGGCGCACGCACAAATTTATAATCTCAATATTATAGAATTAAACACATAATATATAATAAAAATCCATGCAATAAGAAACATGTGGTAACGAATCTAAAGATGAAGTTAATTTCGAAATACCGAGAGATCTTTCGATATTAAACTTGGGGGAACTTGAACTTCAAAGGAACTTAAAGATATTACCTTGCGATCCAGAACTGTACCAGTAACTTCATATTTTCTTGAACCTTCTGCACTCTTGCTCGGCCACTTTCTTTTCTCTTTCTCATTTCCTTCTACAAACTCGTCGCCATCGTTCTCGAATTCATCTTCTCCGTCTGGTGGAGTGTCTGCATGTATACTTAGCGGATCGATGTAGATAATATCCGACAGTATCTATGAATGTTTGCATTTAAGATAAATTTTTTCACAATATTAATTATACAAACATTTTATTTAATAATTAATTTAAATATGAAATTTACGTATGAAAACTATTTGCGAACTTTCATTTACGTAAATATAAATATATTACTTGCGTAAATATAAATATACACGCATCATTTTTTTAGATTAGTCATATCTTGTCATAACATTTATACGCAAAGAAATTATCTACATGTTAATCAAATTCTACGATCTACTTTCAAAGATTTTATAATGGAAAAGGAAAGATATTGCCGTTGTGTATTTAATGAAAAGTATGAATAAAAAGATATTGCGCAATTATATCTAGTCTATTTAAAGTCTACTTTATACAGCGTGCCTTTGAAAAGTTTTTTTGTACGCATCAGCGTACATCTTTTAGTTAAAATTCTCTGGCATCTGAAAGTAATTTGCCAATGTATATTGATGTAATGATAATTTTAATTACTAAACCACAAACACAAATATTTATTTCATAAATTGCACTACATGATGAAAAATAATAAATCAACTAAACTACTGTAGGAAATGCTGGAGGGTAACTGCGAAAGTAATAATAATCACCTGTCACTTTTCATGTAATTTTTATACCTTATGGAAAGTGATATAAAGCGATTAGCTCATATAAGTTATATGGTAACCTTAATCAATGTGATTAAGAAGGACAAATTGAAAGATTTCTTAATTTCTCTTTTCTATTGATTACTGCGCAATAGTATAGTTAAAATAATTAAATTAAAATAAACTTCTGATTGTGTCATGGCTTTCAGCATCAAGTATTTATATTTTTCATGTTTTTCAAAGCAATGTGGTATTCGCATATTTTGGAACATATGATTCAAAGCGAGATGATACACAATGCATTTCATACTTGAATTGCGTAACTAAACTCCTTTCAAAATTACTAAAAATATTATTTAATTTATTATGTTTTTTACTTTTTTTAATTATCTAATTGATACTATTTTTGTTAATAAACTGCATTTATTTAAACGCATATTATTGTTTTAATATGGATCCTACATAAAAAATATATATACCTATATATGTATGTACATGCAAAATATTGCCGGAAGCAATTACGAAAATAACGTCACAAAATTAAAGTTGAAAATTAAGATGAAAATAATATTGAAAAATAGACATAAAATAAAAATAAATATTATTTTTATAATCTTTATTTAAAACATTTTCTAATGTATTGATAAAAAATTTATAGTTTATTCGTCAAACTTTGTATTAAATTCACATTTAAAAGTAAAGATCTTTATAAAAAGTGAATTGAAAAATATCTTCTTAAACGAAAAGAAGAGTTATTAAGATTTATAATACAATTTTTTTTATTTCATTACAATTCTGTTTTTTTATTTAACAAATAGAAAACGAATTTATTTGAACCTAATATTATACGATAAATAAATAAACATACATACACATATATATATTTATATTTTATATATATATACATAAATTTTATTATAATGGATACATACCTCAGATAATATCTTTCCATGATAACTGTCAATATGATTGATGAAAATACGCCAAGGCTTAAAATGCGGTTTCACATTTCCAGTTGACAAATCAAAATCCTTTTGTCGTTTTCGAGCCTCAAAGCTGGACAGATTGTTCAAAGTGTCCGCAGCATTTGTTAATTTAGTTATTGATATATGTTTTTGTGTGCTATCCATATTGGCTAAATAAACACACGTGGCATGTACCTATTACATCACAAATATACGGTATTTTGATATGCAAGGTTATGTGAGCTGTGAAAAACGTTTTGCTGTCGACATTTCCGAATTGTTGGATTTACAACTTCAATTCGATAAAAGGTAGAAGAGTTGTTACATCAGACACATACATATAAAAATAGAATACTATAAAGTTTATATTATGAATTATGCATTATAAATGAAATAATACAACTATGTTGTAATAATTAATTTAAATTTATTAATAGTCTTTTTAACATGTGTATAAAAAGCGATGTATTTATTTATGTTTAATTTATGAGTATTACAAGTTTTCCTCATTTCTTTTTCTAGACTTTGAAATTAAAAAATAAATAAATAGGCGAGGAAAATTACATATATCTGTACTGTATGACAACAGAAAAATATTTACGTAAATTTAATTAATATTTTGAGTCATTAACTTCATGGAACGTTATATTAATTCAAACGTTAGCAAATATATTTATTAACAATAGGGTTAACAAATATATGATGTGAAAAGTTATACATTCGAGAATTATGGTATGGTACAATGGAAATATAGGGATCATATCTCCAAAAAAACGCACGTTTTCAATTTTAAAACAATCCCTCTGAGAAAAGCTACTCACGAAAACTGAAATTACGAACAGCGAAAACAAAAAGTATGTTCCTCTGAGCGTAAATCGTCGAATAAAACTCGAGAGCTTATTTTAAACGATTTATAATTTGAGATAAAATCTAGGACAAAATTCTATTTATAATATTGTAACTAATAATATTATAACATAATTTATACATATTCGTATATTTTCAGTGCTTAAAATACTTTCTGTGTATTTTATAGTCGATATTTAAAATTATAAATAGAATTCTCTTTCAAATATTATTATAAATTATAAATTGTATACATAAGTAATAAAAAACAAGCAAATAGATTAAATGTATTCTGGTCCATTAACATAAAGTAAAAGCACGAGAATAAACATCAAACAATATATGAAATTTCGAAGTAATATATTCCAATAACGTGGATTTTTTACAAAGAGAAAAAGGAAAAGGCAAGGAGGGTTGATGGGTTGTTCAAAGGAATGAGTCGGAGATCAGAAAGGATCGAGAAAGAGGAGGTCAAGGTCGCCAATGCTAGACGAAATATTTTCCGAGACCGTATCAATTTGTTATAACGTACACTAGTAATGTATATTCACTGAATTGATATGAAATGGAAATCTTTAGGATTATCAAAATAGGTTCGCTTTATAACAGGATTAACTCTAACTCTTAGTACACATCATTCAGATGTTTTCTGCGTTTATTTTCTTTAAAATACTAGAAGCACCTGGCTAAATAATAACTTCTATCCTTTTCTTTTCTTTTAATACGCAACACAATCCTACAAATACTTCATAAAGATATTAAAGTAATGCAAGAATCACTTAATAATTTTTGTACAAGTGTTGAAAAATAACCCAGACATAAACGACTCATCGTGCGTACTAAAGGCTGTAATAAAGGACCGAAATTGTGTGTACCAAAGGTTAATGGAGAAAGCACATGAACAAAGGATGTAAATTCTCTAGGCCTTGTAGGTGTATCCTGATATAGCACACGAAGGACTGCTCGAGCAAGAAAAAGGGTCAAGGATAGCGAACATCATAATCGGAAAATGAAAAAGCACAATAAACATAAAAAGATATTGATATGTTTTGAGGAAATGACAAATGCTCGTATCGGCTATATATAGATAGAAACACGATTAATGGACAATAGATTAAAGAAATAGGATAGGTTGTTTTCAGTTATTGTTTATTCAAGTATGTACTATACACCTTAAAAATCAAGTTTATGATCATAAGATTGATTGACAATTTGATATTAAAGGCTAGTAATATTTCAATAATTCTTCATTAAATAATAGCTCACACGGCACATTTATTGTTAATTATATTTTGATGATAGTAAAGTGTATTGTAATTTTCATTTATTCATCAAATTCACGTATTATGCAATTTATTTTAAATAAATGCTTAAAACATTAATATTCATGCGTATAAGTTTCAATCTAATTACATCCTTTTATTTAACAATCGATATGAATCGAAAATGTACTACTAATAATTTATCATGTACGTGTTATTGGGGGAAAGTTATTAACAAGAAAAATTTCCGAAGAAATGGCGAGAAAAGGAAACTTAGTTATTATCGGCGACAAACGTTAGAAGTTTGTGATTGCAAAGACCCGTAATTCACTAAAGTTCATCAATCACTCTGCCGCATACATTGTCGCGACTCGATGTGACGCCAACGAAAAAGTATCTCGTAAATCGTACTCTATGTTAAAAACTTTACGAATTCATCATGCGAGTATAAACTTTTACTTGCAATGTAAATACGTACATGTAGCATGAGAAATGCACCGGATATGTATTAACTTGTAATGACTTTCGATTTGACTAACAAGCACCATTAATACTAAAATCGCCATTTTAGCTTCGCCATAATCGTTTCAACTTTTTGTGTGAGATATATTGGATGAGTGCAAAAATATATAAACGATTTATTATTAAAACTCTAGTAGCACATTTTTTTTTGGCACATAAAATTTAAAATTTTTCCTACTTTAAAAAAAATTTTAAAGCTTAAAATCTTTCAAAAGATTACTATATTTCTTTGAGTTTCCGTGAGTTTGGTTTACGTATAGAAAATTAGTTGGATAACATGGAAAATTTTCTTTTTATTTCGTGGACCTATGGCATGCGCAAAAAAAAGTTTCACCTTTCTAACGTGAAAACTTAAATTTTTCCTACAAAATTATTTTTCAAAAATGTTCCTAATGCTTTTTATTACTGAATTATCGCAGTTTAAATAAAAAGAACATTTTAACTTTGATTACTCCAAATATATAATGAAAAAATATCTTTCACAATTTGTTAGAACGGTAAAATATGAAATCTACGAAACCGAAGAACGAATTAGGGGAATGATGAAATTCAAATCAAATTAAAGATTGCAAAAAGACCTCTTTGTGCAACCAATTGTAAATTCGCGTTGTCATTGAAATTTTGAGGGCGCATTTTATGATGATAAAATATAGAAAAATGACTTTCCTGATGAACTTCGTTATTTAAAAAAATTGCTACGCTGAGACCTGGTACGATTTTATACGCGTATGATTGAATAGAGCGACGCGGGCAAAAGTTAACTCGACGGGAGACATCTGTTATCGTAATAACAAGTGAAAACTTTACAACATAACAATAAACTACCAACGCACAACGCTTGCTCGTCGCGTAGTTCTATTTCATTTGCGAGGTAGCAAGCAAAAAACCCGCATATGGTTTTGTTTGCTAGTTTCGTTTCATTGTTTTCAGAGATAAAAGACATACTGCACACCATTCCCTTTTTTAAACAGCCATGATACGTATACGCGAAAAAGGGCAAAAAAAGAAAGAAAAAAAAGCTAATATGTGCTCTATCTCGTACATGCGCAATTTAGTCGATCAAAAGCTCTGTGTGACCAATCGCGCATCGATTTCCAATTACTTTCCACATAGCATGTGTAACATTTCAAACAGTTCTCATCAGTAAACCATTTCTACAGAATAATCTTTTCTGCTAACGCTTTTTACTGATAAGAACAAGTATGATATAATAATGCACGTAACAAAAAATATTTTTAGATCACAATATTTGAGATATTTTTCTTTCTTGCTAAAAAAAGTGTGTTTTATATCACTCCTTACTTAAGAAATCAAAAATAAAATTTATATACAAAAATTTATCGTTTAAATTGAAAGTGACAGAATAAATAAAGTATATCGGTTACGTATAAGAAATATTTTTATAGTAAACTCGCTCTTGTTAATTTTCGAAATTCTCTTGATCTCACAATCAGAATTGGGTATGAAATGCCGGAAGAAAACGCATCATATATATTAAATATACATATATGCAGCTGATAACTTGTACCACGTTGAAGCAAAAACACAGATATTTCTGTCATTGGCAAGACACGCATTGTTCTCGATAAACGAGAACGGAAAGCTTGGCGTACTCTCTTCATTTGTCTCCAGCCAAGGATAGCATTCCCTTTGTGGGATGCGCACGATGATATATATTCCCTACAAACACATGTATGTACACACGCGCGCACGCAATTTATTTAAAGAGCCTTTCTCATTTGCATCTTCATCTTTCTATTGCATAAACCTAATGGAAATCATGCTTTCTCTTCGAATGTTCCATCTATTTTACGAACAGCGATTTAAATGTATATGATATCCAATCCAATTAGTAACTTATATAACATTAATTTCATGATACATTACTTAAATTATGCATCGATCGTTCAACGTAACGTGGCATAACGATATAAATTCATACAAACATTTTACTTATTCTATTCATTTACTTATTCATTTACTTAATTCTTTCATGTTACGATTCGCCTATGCAGTCTAGTATTGTGCAAAATATCTTTTAGATCTTTTATATCTTTTATCTTTTTTAATAGAAATTTCTCAAATTCCGCGAAGCAGGATAAAATTACACCAAACAGTCGCTTTATATCACTATATCACATGTCTTCTATACACTGTTAAATCTATGGTGTCAAATTTAACCTAACGTGAATCGCCATTGCTCTTACTAAATATATCGTTATTTTTTACCAAAACGATAGTTAAATTTGATACTGTATTGTGTCAATTTGACACTATATAGTGTCAAATATAGCTATTGTTTTAATATAAAATAACGATATGATTGAGTAGGAGGAGTGGCGACTCACGTTAAGTTAAATTTGACACTACAGATTTAACAGTGTACACTGCAGTTAAATTTGACACTACAGATTTAATAGTGTATACTGCAGGAAAAAAAATCAGGTTACATGAATTGAAATTCTGATTGAAAATGATCAAATCAGAATCTGTTATAATAATTCTAGTTGAATCTATTATAATTCTAAGTGAGAAAAAAACCTGAATTTTGATTGATATGATCAAAATCTTCTGATTCGTTCACATTTTCCACTAGAAACTTCTTCAGTGTACCTATATATGT